TTATTTTTACTATCACCTAGCAAACGTACTGAACAATTTAACTTAGAAATCAATTTAAAACGTTACATACCATTGTTTAACCTCAGTCATTAAAGTAATTGTTTACAATCTAACCAAATGAGAAATTCCCATGGTCGTAAGCAACGTAAAAAACGAAAACGTTCACTTATTGAATTAAATAAAAAATTATTTATTTATATAAATCCCGTTATTCGAAAAGATAACTAATAGACTTTTCCCTATTACTTCAATAACTAATGAATTTTATTATCGAAAATTCTAGATAACTAACTTAAAACTTTATATAAGAAATAATTTGGAATAAATACATTTCTTAGAGTAATCCTTTTAATACTCGATTTGCGAATATACAGTTAAAGGTGAATATTATAATTATGATAAATATCGACAAAAACAGAAGGGTCGTGTTATGACTAGTGTATAGTCATAAAAACCATTGCAAAAATCACTGATTAAGTTGTAATTTTGAGGCCTTTTAGAACTTGATTTCATAAAAGCTAGTATAAGGTGACGGTGTACGTGTTGGCTAGATATGTGTTACACATTTTCCAACTATATCACTCAACAAAGGCTTAAATTCCTAAGTGACTTGTAATGACCATCTATGACTACATATAACCCAGACATTGGTTGACTAATCAGATTTTCCGACTTGAACGAACAATGCTTCAAAGACACCTATAATAATCAACATGTAACTTTTCACACAAAAGTCTTAATAGACAACTATGCTATAGAAATCACTTTTACTGAAAGGCTGTATGTTACTGACTAAGTTTAGTAAACCTGATGGGGGAATATTAAAAATACGTCCCTACCATGTATGAGTAGAGATCTGAAATACACATTAAGATGAGCGAAATGTTTATGCAGTGAAAACATGTAAATTTTAACTTAACATAATCTGTCTTCACATTCATTCTACATGATATATTTAGAAAGCATAAAGATCTTTTATCTATTCATCAATTATTATATTCACTAAATCATAATAAAAATGGTACAAATGATTTCGTCAGTCAACAACCAATTCGAATAATTACTGAACTAAAAGCACGGATTCAACGATTGAGGGAAGAAAATATGGCATTACGTCGGCTGCTGTTACGTCGACCACTTGTACCGGTAAAGCAATCAGATCAAGAAAGTGAACAACGACCATTTTGTGTAAGTCAATTTTTATTTGGGTAGTTAACATTTAATTCTAACCTTATGAGCATAGGATATATATTTGATTAGTTAATTTTTAATGAAAGTGCTACAGCTTGTGGCCTTTTGTCCTATTAATATATAACTTTACGATACAACCAATTAGGGAACAGTGACTTATCGACCGGACCAATGACCCATAAAACCGTACGAGCAGTCTACATTCTTTATCGGTCCTTCCTACACAGCCCTACCTGTTAAGTCCAGAACTCCAATCTCAACTTCTGAAATATGAATCATGTATTTTCAAACATGCTGGGTTTAAATATAAACCAAACAGATCACATCGCACCATAAAATAGAAAATAACATTTGCACAAGATCTGGCCAAAAGTGGCTGTAAATGTGGGAGACTATAATTAATAAACTTCTCAGAACTCGAAAACATTAGATCGTATAAAAGTCTATGGATCAAAATAAAGCTTATAATAAGGGGAACATGATTATTCATAAATAACTCTCGTCGGGATATGACGGAAGGGGCAAAAACTAATACAAAAAATCGTAATTGACATCACTGTATGAATCTATAATTGGTTATGACTTCATATACAGGTTCGTCTAAATGTTTGGTATGATAATGATAAAGCACAGCTCCATCAACTGAATTGTGTTGATTTTCGCTTATCTACTCAACTGTTGAAAGCCCAGATTTTCGCTCATCACTCTACTATAAGTAATCGCTGAATAGGTTAGTCTACCTTAGTTTACTGAACGGATTATGTACCGATAGTTTCTCTTTGATCTACATTACAATAAGTAGTAGATTGTCAACGGTTCATTTTAAAACATACCACGGAAATCAAATGAATTTAAAATTTTGACCCAAAATTCGAACAGAAATATTAGACGGTTACAAACTACCGCAATATCAGCCATTCCCGTTGAAGCTGAAGATGAATTTTATTGATATATATCAACAAGCATGAAACTCAGAGAGAGATATTGTCACGGACTGATGAAATATTTAATACCGTTTGAAGTACTGAATGAATAACATGGTAACTGAATTATATTTACTGATAATGAACTTTAGTCAATGTAGATCAAACGACAGAATTTATCATGAGTAGTATGCACAAGAATGGATGAAAAATACTCTGCATCCATATATAGACAATACCAGTTTATGCATTTAGTTATGCACTACTCACTAATAAAAAGCTACATGGTTGAAATGACACTAATGACAGCTTGTGGATTTCTGAAAACTTGTTAGAACTGTATCCGAAGTCATGTTACTTCAAATAAACTGTTACCTAATTCACATTTATTTCAAGAGTGCTTTAAACAAAGTAAAAATAAATCATACTTTTCTTTTCGACATCATTATGATAATCACTTCACTCCGCCTGTAGCTCTTCTACGGCTACTGCCGGTCTCAAGCCCACACAAAGGAGGAGGATTTAGTGAGTGGTTGGCAACCCCGTCTCGAAGAAAAAAACATTGCTAAAAATACGCAAACCAGATTAAACAATTTAAACCATTTCAGCTGTACTCTCCGAGGTTAAGGGAAAATTATCATGCCACATGATGAAAGCTTAGATACTTCAGTAGTCAAGATGCAAAAACCCAATTCTCACAACCAGAGCAACAATTAAAATAAAGACATGGAATGTCCGAACAATGTAGGAGGCCAAGAGGAACAGACAAATAGCAACAGAAATGAGAAGATACAAATTGGCGGTTCTCGGTATCAGAGAAAACCACTGGATCCGAAATGAACAGCAAACGTATGGGAGAGATGCTTCTGTACTCCGATCACGAAGAGTAAAATGCTCCTCATACTCAGTGAGCTACCCTGATATTGTCTAAACAAGCACGAAAAGCACTTACCGGACAGGGAACTAATGGATACACAATCTTCAAAGAATCCTCCATAACAAAGAAGGTGGAAATCACAATGGATGTTATCCAATGTTACGCACCCACCAATATAATAGCAACGAAAACGATAAGGATCAGTTCTACAAGAGGTTGTAGTCAACCGTAGAGAAGCGTCCAGAAAACGACTTGACCAACCTGATAGGAGATTGAAATGCTAAAACCGGAATGGACAACATCTGGTATGAAGACATCGTGGGACGACATTGACTGACTGAGAGAAAAGAACGAGAATGAAGAGAGATTTGCAGATCTATGTGCATTCGACACAACGTTTCCCCACAAACTCATACACAAAGCTACATGGGTTTAGCCGGAATGAAACTTGGAGAACCACCACAGTCATCACCAAAATAGTATAAGTATTTATAAACAATTGTCTACGCAAGATACTCAATATCTTTTGGCCAGATACCATCAGCAACAGCCTACTGTGGGAGAGAACAAACGAGCCTCCAGTTAAAGAGGAAATTAGGAAAAGGTGTTGGAAATGGATAAGACAGACTTTGAGGAAATCATCAAACTACATCACGAGTCAAGTTCTAACTTGAACCCGGAAATGAAATGAAAAAGTGGAAGACCAAGCAACACGATGAGCCGAGAATTGGGAGCTGACATGAAAGAGATGAACAGCAACTAGAAACACCTGTAAAAGACATGATTAGTTGGATAGTGCAAGTGAGTGGCCTATGAGAGGTAGCAGGCGTAATCAAGTGATAAATATTCTTTTCAAAACTCGTCTTTTATTACTTATAAATAATCTGGTAGATCAAACAAATGCCCAATTTTATTTTGTGTACTATTTTAAATGTATAGCACATTCAAACTAGTTTGTATGACCTAATTTCTCTTGATTGGCATTTAAATGGAAAAGCAGTACTGGTCATTTTTCACTAGAAATTGATTTTTCATAACTATTTTTGATTTAGTGGATTGAAATACTCTCTTAATCCAGCCAGTAATCCAACGAAGTTTACTTACATAATATGTATTTTAACATAAAAACGTTTTTATCTATCTAATTTCCCCTCCATTTTTTCCCTATTTTATTTAAAGATTATCCTCTTAAATATTATTTAAAATAAAGTGATTATATTTTTAAATAGTTTCAGGTCATAAATATTAAGAATTTACCATATATTTTGAAGTGATTTCCAACATACAATAATTTGATCTGAGGGCTATATCTTCAGTTTTTTCTGTATGCTTATATACAAATGTATAGATATACTAAGGACAAAAAGGTTAATTCATTGTATTCCAGGATTCTACAGTAACTTCATCTAATCAGCTAATGATTGACATAATGTATCCAAAATGATTATTAAATTGATCAAATCGTCATTACATTATTAAAACTCACTTCTAAGTGCATAAACTGTTAAAGGAAATGAGTTTTAAATCTTAATAATTTAGAAGCTCCATGTTTATATTTCATTTTACTAAAATAACATTAATCGTTTAATCATTATAATACAATTAAATAACAGCTTCCTAAAAAATATGATGAAGTATAGCATGATGAATTATAATTAATATCTAATGCGCTTTACACTATAAGTAAATACGTCATCTTATTTATGAATATTACTAATTTAATTAGTAAAGATTTTGAGGTACTAAACATAATAAAACTTGCATCACATTACAATGAAATATTCTAATTAATAGTGTATACAATTTAATGTCTCAGTGAAATATACAAAGTATTAATCATCAATAATTCCAGGAATTTAACTACACTACATCCGAATTTCTAAATTGATACCAATCATTGTTTTCATTATATATATATATATATATATATATATATATATATATATATATATATATATATATATATATATATATATATATATATATATATATATATATATATAATTTACCTTGCCCAACCAGATGGTAAATGAACAAGTAATATTCCAGTATCAGTTAAAGATAATGCTGTCATAAATAAATATGGTGTAGCTTCAAATTGTTTATGACTTAATACAATGACATTTATTATATTTAATAATGCTCCAATAATACATATTGTTGTTTGTATAAAAAATGCACTATAAATTTCAATATTATTTTCTCTATATAATGTTAAATTTGTATCTGATCTTAAATTTGTTAAATTAATTAAAGTTTGATTCATAATGAAAACAAACAAAAAATTTGTTGTTTAAAAAAATTTCAATTCATTTTTATTTTGTCTCATAATTAATAATCCATAAAGATCTTTATTCAATAAACAATATATTCAATATTCTATATTGTCGTTACTGTTATTGTATGTTGTTTGTTTTCATTCCATTTCAAATTATTAACTTATATATGTTTTAGTTTAATTTAATAATATAATAATACATAGATATATGTTTGATAAGTAAATAACATTTAAAATAACCAATCAAAATAAAATTATTCGATCGCGTTTGTGATTGGTTAATTTTTCTGAAATATTTATTATTAATTTCAATGGTTGAGGTCATCAGACAATTGAAGTTAGACCACCATGGAAAACCTGGAAGCACTGGATTGTTGTTTCGTCATATTGTGGGACTACTCAGCAGTGTGCATCCATAATAGTTAATTTCATCACTTAAACAAATTTATTGTTGAAGAATCCCATAATAGGATGGAATAGCCGTCCAGTGCTTCTAGGTTTTCCATGGTGGTCTAGCTTCAACTGGCTCATGATCTCAACCATTGAAGTTACTATAATATCCACAAAACGTTTTCTGATATTTATTATCAGTCAATATCAATATACATTTTATTTTTAAATGATTTTTTTTCAGGACTTTAAGCTGCTACTTTTAATCCAACTACTCAAAACAGGTAAATCATATGACATTAATTAAATTTCTACGTGAAAGAAAAAAGATTAGAGAAAATACAATTTTTTATATCAAAAGTTCTCTAACCAGTCATGAATAACAAACTTTTATACAATCTCTTTTATTGTAAAATGATATAGATATTTTAGTTAAGAACTGTAATCTAAATTTCTTGCTACCCAAGCGTTTACCTAATTGTTATCTAATGATGCTTTCTTCTGTACAATTTTCAATCCTTCTTCTTATCGAACAGTTATTCTTTAGCTTTATATCAGAGTATTTATTTATTTGGTCAGGTTACAATAACAGTACCTTCAGTGTTATTCAACTGTGCTATAAAACTCCTCTAAATTTACGACATAGTTTTGTAAGTTTATACAAACAGCTAGCTTAGAATAAAAATAACTTCAGCGGATCGTTCATCAACTTGGTTTTAGTTACTATTAACGATTTCATCACTTACATCACGAAATGATCTTCAATAACACTTAAATTCAGGAAGCAGTGGAGGGTTTTTTCGCTCTTGTATTAAATTCCAAGACAATTTTCACTTACAATCTCTGTTGAGAGTGGACCCAGGAGCTTTTGGTGTCACTGCGAGCACTTCAACCCTAGATCACTAACCCAGTATCAATAGTATGAATACGTAAATTGGACAGGTCCATGGAATCGCAGAATCATCTTCAAATCCTAATGGTGCGTCCGTGATGTAAATGAAGACATACCCTGAACTATTGGACGACATGATAACGGAAGTAAAGTAATTATTTGAGAAACTGCCGTAATATTTTATTTTATCAAAACTCTGTTTAGTGTATTTTTATTTCACCAACTTAACACATTAAAATATTCCTAATATGGGAAGATATTTGACAAACTTATTGAAAAGTAATTTACATTAAAAAGTGTCTTGTTTGTCAACAATTTTTTTACTGCGAAACTGAATGTTCCAACAAAACGAGGTTATTTCAAATTACGTAATCCATTTACAAAAATATACCTTGTCAAATACGTATTTAAGAAGACAATAAAGCAAAAAGAAAGAAAAACATTAACCTAAGCATTTGGTTAAAGTGGAAGATAACAAAGAATTATTGTTTAGATAAATAACGATATATGTAAAATTACTGAATTAATCTAATCAACTAATAAAAATAATAAAACAGAAAAATAGATGTTTAATCAAATGGAAATAGCATTATTAATATCTTATCAAAAATGGTGATAACTGTTTACATAGCCAACCCTCAAACATAAAAAACTCTTTTTATCAACGGATTTTCGCAGTTGAATAACATAATTCCCTAAACGCCGAACAAAGCATAATTCACCAAAGAAAGAAGAATAAATTAAAACGCTGAAGGGTAAACTAAAACAATTGTTTTATATTAATAATTGAACAATGTAGGACTTAAACACAATCATAAACAATAGGAACTATTTATTTCGTATTGTATCCTTTGAAAATAAACAAAATTTTAAATTGTTAAACATACACTAAAAATATCATTTATTTTAAACAATGAATTTCGCGTACACTGATGAAACTATAATAAACTTACAAAACCGTAAAGACAAGCTTTATTTAGCTGAATTCTTTAATAAAGATTCGTTTAATTTAGCAACAGATTTGTTTAGGAATAAGCATTAGATAATGATTTATAGAAAATTAACGAGTACTCGGTAGATTTTTTTGTTACAAAATCAGTACACATGAGTAACTTAAACTGAAGATCTCACACGGAGTTAAGTGTTAATTCTAATGCTTTTATAATAGGTATCAATCTTTAATTAGTGAAATAGAATCCAACAATTCGACACTATTAAACGCGATTAATATTATACATAGTAAAAATTGTTGTTAGGCATTATATGAAAAAAACTAACCAGTTCTCATAGCATTCATCATCGTTGAAATAACTTATTTACTTACCCATTCATTAGTAATTGTTACTCTATTTTCATTTCTAAAATCTGAGCATTAATAGTTTATAATATATGCATATAGTGTCCTACTTTATGTTTTCATACATTAAGCATCACTGTATAAACAGATAATATGATGTACGCTCCTGTATTGTTAACGGCATACAAATTTTTTTAAATCGAAACAACCTTAATTATATAATAAATTATTATACTAAAAACAATATTTCAGTGAATTAAATTACTTTATCCCCATAAATTAAATTTAGTTAGTGTAAATTGTAGCATTAGCGAATGTTTTTATTTATACTCCAATAAGTTTGGCAATTCCTTTCATTTCATTAGCTACTTATTTATATTTTACTATAAACAAGTAAAAAACAATGAAGAAAATCATAGAATTATTCGTTACTGCATCATAATTTAATTGTAAGTTTTGTACTACTCATTAGTCGTATAAACGTTTAATAGAACAGAAATCTGTAGATTGTTAATGGCGTGGGAATAGATAATAAGTTTATTCATTTCCGCGGTATTATAAAGAAACACCACTGTTATAAAATTGAGCCTACTGATATATGAAAAAACGCAGAGATTACGAGGTATGTGATTTTAAAAAAAATAGAAACTTGTATGCAAAATGTTTGGTTTAGTAGGTTATCTTTGTTTCCCTGTCCCCTTGGTCAGTTCATCAACCCATTAATATGGTATCATGTTATTATAGAATGTGAATCGAAAAAATACTTATCACTCCTCACAACCCAACACGCACAATGAACAAAGTTAGTAAGTAGTTGAACTGCTAATGTTTATCACCTTTCATTAGCATGTAATTTCAAACTTAGCAATCAAGTCATAAGGCAAAGTGAAGTCCTGTTTTGAAATCATAAAGTATAAGAACAGTAATAGTTATAAACTGGCAAAATCATTGTTAAGTTTATCAGTTTATTTTTGCAAAATAGTCATCTAGCGAAACAAACAGAGGTCAATTATTCCTTTTTTTCAGATTCTCGTTGGTTCAGACAGCTTTCAGCTAGAAAGAAAACTGTTCATATGATTTGTTGTAATGGGTGGGTGACTGCAGGTTTTGATAAGCAGCGTTTATATCGATCGCCTCTGTGACACGGGAAACACGTAGACACGTAACGAACGACCTAGAGTCCCGATTGGCTCTGCTTCCCTGTTTATCCCAGCCAGTTGAGTCCAGGACGAAAGTCACAGCCTCTGAGATATGAATCATTATATTTCAAACACACTCTGTTTATATACTCACCAAGCAGACCACATCGTACTATAAAAATAGAAAACAACATCTACACAATATTAAACAAGTGAAGTAAATATCGACCAATAGGGAATGTACATTTAAAATCGAAGGACACCATTGGACTTACCATGATAATTATTGGTCTATTCCTCCGCATCCACAACATGATTCTCATCACTTTTCATCTAATCATATGTAAAACTATATGGGCATAGGTAGTTACTCGCAACATTAAGAAAACCTATACTACTTACACATAAGGAAACATTCTACACATTACATAAAGACAAAAGTACCCCGACAAATCAATTAATATTGACTAAGCAAAGAAAATTAACATACTAATACAAAAATACCTTATTTGTTCCTACTAAATTACCCTATTCTTGATTTTATACCATATATATGCAACAAACGAATAGTCAGCAATATCTTAGTAGATTCCACATCTAATCACAGTTCATATGTATAAATTTTAATTTATAAGAAATATGTTTGTCTAGAGAATAAACAAGGGATAAATTATACTTACCATTTTAGTGATTATACTCATATATCTCAGTGTTTAACTCAGGATTTCATTTTAAAAAATTGATAAATACTGCCCAAAACACGTTGGAGCTCATGTGATGCATAACAAAATGAGTGAATATTGATTTTCACAGATTGAAATCATGAGACAGTTGAAGCTAGACCATCATTGAAAACCTGGAAGCACTGGACGGCCGTTTCGACCTAGTATGAGACTCCTCAGCAGTGCGCATCCATGACCCCATACTAGGACGAAACGGCCGTCCAGTGCTTCCAGGTTTTCAATGGTGATTTAGCTTCAACTGACTCATGATTTCAATCTGTGAAAATTTCTAAAAATCTCCACAAAACACATTCTGAATATTGATTATCAGAATTAAACATAGCAACTAAATGTTGTATTATTCATTCCAAGAACTAAAGATTAGAAAGTTTCAAAACTGCGAGTTCATATCAAACAAGAGTTTTAAATCAAAATGAAGCGTTCTATTTTTCATTTTCAATTTTCAAACATGTTTATTTGTACTAAGAATGATAGGATTCTCTGACAAAAACAAAGTTAAAATCAAATAGTATAGTTTTTAAGCTAAA